GGCAGAGCACAAGGTGAAGGGGTGGAGGTGGGGGGGAACGCGTTAGCGGCTGCGAGCCCCGCGCCGGCCACACCGCACAGCCCTCGGCCACGGGCCTAGGGGGCTGCTGGACTGCCTGCTTGCCCGCCTGGATCCCGGACCCCGTATCCCTGCTCCCAGCACCCCTCCTGCCCTCCCCTCTCCCCTCACCTCTCCCTCCTCCCGCCAAGATGGCGGCGGGCGCAGCGCAGGCGGCGCAGCCGCTCCCGATGTAGTCGATGGGCCGAGCGCCGATGGCGCAGATGAGCAGCGGGATAACAGAGGGGATAAAAGCGAGGTGAGGATAAAAGGGATGAGGGGAAGAAGGGGATAAAAGTTCATTGCCGGCTCTGAGGAGATCGCAGCGAGGCTAAGAATTGGTCCAGAAGTGGGCGTTGCTGCCCCGGGGTTTAGCTCTGTCCTGTGCTAACAAAGCTATAAGCAAAGAGAAATATGGGGTTTGTTTGTTGTTTGGTTGTTTGGTGTTTTTTTTTTTTTGTCTCCTTCACAACACCTGAAACAGCAGCTTGTGAAAGCATAGAATCATGGAACGGTTTGGGTTGGACGGGACCTTAAAGACCATCTCATTCCAAACCCCCTGCCATGGGCAGGGACACCTTCCAGCAGCCCAGATTGCTCCAAGCCCCATTGTCCAAGACACTTCCAGGGATGGGGTATCCACAGCTTCTCTGGGCAACCTGTTCCAGTGCCTCACCACTCTCACAATAAAGAATGTTTTCCTAGTATCCAATCTAAATCCATCCTCCTTCATGTTAAAACCTTTCCCCCTTGTCCTGTCACTACATGTCCTTATACATTCTCTCTCTCTCTCCATCTTTCTTGTAGCCCCTCCAGGTACTGAAAGGCTACGAATAGGTCACCCCAGAGCCTCCTCTCTTCCAGGCTGAATAATCCAAATTCTCCCAGCCTTTCCTCACGGTAAAGGGGCTTCATCCCTCAAATCACCTTTGTGTCCCCTCCTCTGAACTCGCCCCACGAGTCCACATCCTTCCTCTGCTGGTGACCCCAGAGCTGGATGCAGCACTGCAGGAGGGGAGAAAGCAGCGACTTCAAAATGTCTGTAGACACTCATTAGTTAACGTTAGTTTCTGGCTTTGATATTGGAAAGGCAATGTATCAGAGCATGTAATTTCTCAGAGGTACTTCAAAAATCCCTGTGGTAGTGCTACCTCAGGATAAATAAACAAAGCAGAGATTGAGGTTGCAGCCCTTGAATTTTTGGAATAATTTTGCGGGCTGCATGCCTTCATTTCTATGAATAATTAGGCAGGCTTTTAGAGAAGCAGTTTTAAGTTGCAAAGGTTTAACCTGGTTACATATAAAAAAGAGGTTCTTGCGGTGGGGGATATAATCAGTAAGGTAGTTCTCTCCTAAACTATAAATTTTGTTTGGACAGGCCATCACTTTGTAAAGAGGCAGGAACATTAGATAGAGTTATTTCTTCAGTTATATTTTAGGGGAAAAAAACAACATTACTCAGATTCTGGAGTATTTAGGAAGCCTATAAAGAAAAACATGGGTTAAAGGGAATTGAATATAAAAGAGAAAGAAAAAAAAAAGCTATTGATTGAGGTGTTATTCACTGGTGGAAGAAAACAGTGTTCTGCAGTTGTTTACAGCAGGGCATGGTATGGAAAATGGTATGTTAGTTGATCCCTTACACAATGCATTATATGCCACAAATTCAGAACATGGCAGACAGCAGTTCTGGTCAAATTTTAGGGTCCTATTTGTTTTTCTTTGGTTATTGTCTTAGAGGTAGTTGTTAAGATAAAGTGTACCTTTGAAATCCAAGCATGAACAAGACATTAAAATGCTTTTTCAGAAAGGCTGGCTGTGCTGTTTTATGCCTTGATCAGCAGTACAGTCCATGTACTGTAATTTAGTAACAATGTTCAAAACTACTTATTTATTATTGAGTCCACACAGATAAGGGAATTGGTCCAGCAGAATCAAAAATTTTGATGTTTTTAAAATGATTTTTAAATAAAGACCTTCAACTGTCCATAGAGATGAGACTCTAAAGAAAAAAAATTACAAAAAATCCCTCAACCTGTCACGAAGCAAGGAAGAATACATGGCTTCTGTAATTCATCCAGCACAGGCTGCCACACTCATGCTTGCTCAGAGTCACTTTAAGCACAACTGATTTACTCTTGCAGAATTTGAATGCAATAAAGCAGAAAAACTCTGTCTTTCCTGCTCCTCAGGTGGGATTTCACAGTCTGCCTGCCACTTCAATTGAAGTGACATTCATTCCTCAGGTTGGCTTCCTCCTCCCTTCCCCAAGGTTTATCGGGATTACTTCTGTTTCCTCAATCCCCAAACAGAGGTATAGTGCTCTCACATTTACTAAAACAGTCATTTATTTAAAAGTCTCTGAATGCTTGAAGTATTGTAAAAATTATTTCAAGTTTCTTAGCAAGAGTGCCTGTAGCATCTTAGTAAGCAATGATTCATCTCCGATATAACAGGCTGGGAACATGCTTCCAGCTTGGACAGGTACCTGCTTCATCAGAGGTTGTCAAACAGCACTGGAGAAACAAAACAAAGGGCACAGGGTTCTTGAAAACATCTTTGTAGCCACTTCTCTTCCCCCTTCCTGCCCTCTGCTTAAGGTCAAGGAAACTCAGCATTTCATAATTATTGTTGCTGTTTGTTATGAAACCTGTAATAAAAATCATTGTGGGGGTGTTTTTTTTTTCCCCCTTCTTTTTCTGAATGTAATGAAATTCTCTGAGGTAAAAAGAACAGTAACAAATTGCTGTGCATGGTGGAAGCTCCACAGCATCTTCATGGCTGTGATTTGGGCCACAGAAAGTGATGCTTCACATTACTTGTAGTTGTTATTTCCTGTATGAAGACTGTGGAACAAGAAAGTTTCCTTAGTTTATCAGTACAGGAATATTTTCATCTTACCTATGTGTGTGTGATCACAACCACAAGCTAGAAAGAAACACAAGTGGGAATGTTTTGTGATGTAGATTTGTCTGTAGTATATTTGTTCTGCCCTTTGACTGCCCACTTCTTCTGTGTCAAGGAGTAAGGTAATAGACAATCACTAGATATTGGAGTATGGAAAAAGACAATGAGGGAAATGACAGGAAATAAGGAAATTCCATAGCAAGTACGGGCAGTGGTGCTTTGAGCACCTGCAAAATCAATATACATGAAGCCTCACATTTAAGACAGAAAAGGTTCTTTGAAGGGTGAACAACTTCAGGATCTATATTCATTTGGAAGCTGTGAAAGGGAAGGAATTGCTCCCTATAAATCAGGGGTTGCTGAGCAGTTGGACCGGCTGCCTTTGCCCAAAGGACCCAGGAGTCTGCAGTGATTTACAGATCATTGTTTGCAGGCTCAGGATATGTGATCTCTGTAAACTAACAAAGCAGAGAGAGCGGACAACGTGATGGCAGAACAAATTTAGTATTGACAAGTGCTTGGCAAAGCGTTTGGAAAAGCATCGCCTGAACCACCTGAATTAACTGTAACCACTCAGTAAAAGGACCTGGCTGACCCTCTTTGGGGGACAATAAAACACCCAGTAGTAGGGAGAGAGGCAAACAAAAACAGCTTATGGAAGGGGAAAAATGGACTGCAGTTCCTTTAATAAGGCTGTTTCACAATCACTAAAAAGATGTTTGAGTGTATTACTGCTTGATCTAAAATAAAAGAACCTCCACACATTCGTGTGACATTTATAATTGGCAGTTTATGCTTTTAATTATTTAATACACTGCCTCACAGACAGTAATTTAGTCAAGGGAGCTTCGCCAACCAGGGGAAGAGTGCACCATCACAACCAATTATTTATTACTGCTGTTTCAGAGGAAAATAATTCTATCATGGTTAATACAACTATTTGCTTATTCTTTTCACGAAGTCACCCTTACCAAGTAAAACAATAGCACCAAATTTTATTTATTTGGACACACTTCTATTTTATGGCAACAGAAAACAGTTGCAATGTTTAAAAGAAGTAAGTTATCATTGTTAAGTGAACCAGAATTAAATTTTAGATACTTACATTCATACTTAATTAGTTATATCCAGCATAAACTGGGAAATTAGTATATTTCATTTTTTGTGTTTCATGAGCATGCTCAGAAAAAAATGACATACAGTTCTAGACTAGTCTTTCCTTTATGGGGAGCCTGTTCACTCTCAGACCAATTTTTTTGCTACTGGCAATTTCAGGGCCTTGCATCTCTCACATTTCATTGGTGGCTCAGTCCCCTGGGGTGAAAGGTCATCTGAAACTGCAAGTTTCGAATATTCAGCTCTTCACGTTTGCTATATTTATCATCATAGTGATTCCCAATTATTCTGTGTGTGCTAATATACTGGAAGAGATGAAATGTGGGTAGCGCTCTTAATTTCGTACAGATGGTTCCAATTTAGTTCAAGGTGCTGGGGTTGTCCTTTTATTAGCATTAATTGGTGACAGTGCCATCTGTCCATACTGTAACTCTGGGAAGAATAGCAGAGCTCTGGTTTGATTTATTGTTGTGCAAGAAGACTTGCATTCCTTCCCTTTTCTTTCATTCTGGGTTAATTTTTTTTTTTTTTTTTTTTGGTAGTTTAACTGGAATCAGCATATTACCACAGTGTAAGTGGTGTGACTTACACTGAGCATTTGAATTCAATACTTTTGAATCCTCACATGTGTGACACTGCAGTATAATAAAAGCAAATCTTACCTGCTTAGCTGTATGAAATTGCCTTTTTTTCTAAAAAAGCCTCACAAAGATCGGTCCCCCATTGTGAACATCCTCACCCACATCCATACAAACCAGTTTAAACTGTGGCTCCTGCAGGGTTTCCTTGGTTCCTGAAGTTTCACAGGCCACTAGACAAGACAGGAGCAGCAAGGCAGGTCTGAGATCAAGCACACAGCCCTAGCTCTGTGAGTCACCTGGCCAGGCACCATTGCAGTGCAGCTCAGGTAAGGACCAGAGGTCATAAAATGAGCCCAAGCACAGCTCCCAAGCAGAGAGAAGAAGCCCTGGCAGAGCTTCTCACAGCCCTTGTCATAGCAGCCTGAGTCAGTGTCACCACTACCCCAAGTCTGCAGATGGGGAGGGAATAGAATAAATCCTGGATGGAAGAGCAGACCTGCCCTTAAAAACATAGATTGACAGGGAAACAGAGACAGATTTGCCCAGCAGGAAGATGTCAGTTGGTGACAACAATGCTACCTGAGGAGGGAGGTCTGCCCAGCTGAGAGTTCCCACAGGGCTTACTGGCAGCTCACCATCAAGCATAAAGTGTGGGGCTTTAAGAACAATAAGAACCTATAAAGAATCTCTAAGATTTCCAAATGCCTCTTTCTCCAGCCAGCTCAGCCTTGAAATTGCTAAGACCCATTCCAGCAGCAAGGTATGAAGCCATAAATAAGTTTGGTTTATTACTGGTCTTATGGTTAATAATTACTGCAGTTTGGGCAAACAGCAGTAGTAGGCCCCACTAACAAGTTCTGCCTGGGCTTGTGCTGAGTTTCTGCCAGTTCCCCGTACAGATACTAATAAAGCTCATGAGGTATTACAATTGTCTCATTCCTTCAAACATTTATTGATTTAAATCATTTAGTTCTCAGTTGCAGCAGACACTGGGGAACTGATGGTAAATCATACCAACTCTGGTACTTGAGTTGGCTGTAAATTTACCACATCTGGTAGAATTGAGCTGGCTATAAATTCTTTTAGTGATCCTAAAGCTTGGCTGGCTGTGGAAAAGACTGCAGGTGTTGTGCTGCCTTATGTCTGAAGCCGTGCTGGGAGTCAGAGAGCCTTTCTGTGCTTATTTCTCATTTAGACTCAGTGTGGCAGAGCCCCTCCCAAGCATTAGGGTTCTCCTGTGCCATTCACTTTAAAAGAGCCCTACACCAACAAAAGGTGAGGGTCAAGATCAACATCAAACACAGCTTCAATCTCCTCTCCATCAGAATTCCATGCAGAGCAGCTCTGCGAGCATTGGTTCCATTCTGACTAAGATTTACACCACGGTGCCTTCAGGAATGTAAAAGTAAATCTCAGCTCTGTGAAATGTAACCTTACCTCCAGATGCATAAATTTCCCACCTCCAGTGAATGAAATGAGAACAGGTGCTTGGATAGATGATCATATGAAGCTGCTGGATTCAAATGAGGTGGATTAAGACATTCCTTTCCACCATGCTTCTGGTTACAAAGTAGGTCTATACAATATTAAGCAGTCAACATCCTAAATCAAATAAAAATTTCCTGGTTTCAGCCTGAAAGGCAATTATTTCACATGCAGCTGGTCATAATTTTTCTAGAGAAAACTTTTGAAAGGTGACTAAAACCCTTTTGTTTACAAGTATTCTTATAAATTATATTGAATTTTTCAAAAGGCTTTTGTTCTTCATAAAATGGCTAAAACACCTGAATATTTTTCTAGCACTGAAAAATTTTATTTAAAAAAAGGTATTTTTCTTTTCTGGCAAGACAGAGGAACTGTGAAGTCTCCCCCCCCTCATGAATTCTGTGTGAAGTGATAGTTTATCCTGGAGAATCCCATTGAACCAATACAACTTCATTACTTTGAGGTTAGTTGTTTTTCAGCTAAATGTGAAAATGTGATCTCACGGTTTACGACATGAAAGTGAGTCTACACTGCTGCCAAAGGTGTGATTTCCTGCACAGGCAGACATTCCTGCTCTAACAGTGAATTAGCTGCCTCCTGAAGCAGTAACATCAAGGTGACAAAAGCACAGAAGGACGACCTCTGTGAAGCCACTGATGATCTCAGGTATTTGATGGCAGCTTTTCACTGCTTGTCCCTCCCCTGCTTGATTGAGGCAGGTGTTGAAACCATCTGAGAACGGGTGGTGAAGTGCAACCATAAAAGCAGATGAGAAAAGTGATCTCCTCACCTCTCCTCCATCCGAGAACATGGGGCAGGACCAGCAGGGCAGAGCTAGCTTAAATGAATTTCTCGGTGAAGATGCACCTATTGGGTAGCGTTACCTGAAAATACAGTGCAGCATTCTAGACTCTCCTTTCCCAAATCTGCAGCATTAGAAACATAACAATCTCTTGCTTTTTGCTGATCGCAAAATGTTTCGGGGGGTCAAGGGTTTTTTGGTCTAGGTTTTAACTAGTCCATCGGTCACTGTGCATATTTGGTCCTCCCTCAAACTGTGTTAGGAATAAAGCAGTGTTAACCATTCACAAGTAACGACGAATTGAAATTTGGGGGGTTGAGAATGCATTTTCTGTGAAAGAGAAGAAATTTCTATAGCCTGTCTTGTGCAATATTATAATATCAAATAAAGGCACAAATCTGATTCTATTCTCCTTTATTGGATTTGGGTGTTCCCAATAAAGACACCCTTTGTTTTCCATCTAAGCACCCACAGCCAGCCCTGCAAGGGACAGCCCGTGGCTTCTCAGCTCTGGCAAATCAGCCTCTAATCTCCTAAAAACAGGAACTGTGGGTGGGAACTGGCATCCAAAATGTGTCTGAGGGGGAGTCAACTAAGGGGATTGCATTTATTGATCACTATCACACTGCATCCATGCCTGCTCTTTATAGCTAAGCCGCAAACAAGAGTTGGGATTGTTATTGCCCCTTTGGACTTTAGCAAACTTTGAATTCTCAACTTCAGGTGATAATCAAAGGGAGAAATCCATATCCTGAGGTGGGAGTAACATGTCCTTTAGGCCAAGCGGGTCTATCAATGAGGAGAGGGTGAATAACATGTCTCAGGGCTTGGTGTTCGTGTCTCTGGACCCTGAGTGACTTTCCCCAGCGGCTGTGATGGTGTTGCCTCTTGTCCCTGCATGCTAAGACCACAGCCACAGATTGTGTCACAGCTCCTATCTCAGGGGTTATATTTCCCTTCTTCAGTGAGCCCTTTGAAAATGTTAATTTTTTTTGTGGAACATCTGCTTATACACAGGGCATGTCCATGTGCTGACTTTGTTCAGCAGCCGCAGCCTTTGAGCACTTTGGCTGGGGATCCTGTCACCTGAAGAAATACTGTTCAGCAGCCAGATTATATACCATGAACCATTCCTTCAGGGAATTTATCTTAAACTCATTTTAGGCTAACACAGCCAGAGCCATATATTACAGCAAGGGGCAGCCAACCCTTTAGATCTGCTAAGTGTGATTGAAACACATTACTCACTTTCTCACTACCTGGACAGTTTTATCCAAGAAAACAATTGTTGGGGGGAAAAAACTCGGTCATAGAGCAATGCTAATGATCCAAAAGGTCTCTTTGCCCTGACTTCAAACCACAGCCAGCTGCCAGAGAGAAAAGCTAAGAAAATTAACATTTCCACTGTATGCTCAAATCTTTTTGAAGTCAAAAAAAATGTTTCTTAGGACAATGAAGTATTAACAATATTGGCAACATCAGTACAAACCTGGGTATTGACTTTTTTGTTGATACAGTGTTTTTTCCTTCATGATAAGACCATGCAATATATCTTCTCATGATGTGAAGCAGGCAGCATTTTGGGATGAGCAAGCCCATGGGGAAGGCAGACATAGTGCCTAAGAGCCCACTCGTTTGTTAAACACCTCATTATTAACTAAAGACTCACCAGGGCTAGAGAGGGAGGTTGTGAGGAGCTAGAGTCAAATATGTTTCTCAGAGGATGCAGATACCCTGTATAATCTAATACAACCAGCCTAATGGAATTTAAAGAGAGAAGAATCTTCCTGATATCAGAATAGTGGTGGGAGTTCTTGGTAACCAAGGACAGGGAATAATAGTATTTTCCTTTCTTTTTCCAAATATTTAAACAATATCCTTATCTTAATTCAGCAGGAGTATTTTTAGTTATTTGGTTGAGGTTTTTTATAACCAGTCCAGGTTTCCTCTAGACTGATAAAGATGCTTCTTAGTGGGTACTGTGAAGATGAGAAAAACTTCTGATTTACAGCAATTTTCCCTTTTCCCTTCCCTTTCCTTCCTTTGCCTTCCCTTCCCTTCCCATTTAGAGCCTCCCAAATAGCAGATAACTATGGAGAGAAGAGGTAAAGAAGCACAAATCTTTTTAGAACACTTGTGAGTGTTGCTCTTTCTGCATTTCTCCCCCTTGCCTGCTTGAAAATCAGGGAGGACATGCTCTTGAAGGCAGTAATTCTCTCTCCTTGTGCATTTACAACAGTATAAGATAGAAAAAACATCTCCTTTTCCTGCTTTTCTGTCATTAGTAGCTTCTTAGTTATTAAAGTACAGCAGTTCTGCCTTAGTTTAGTGCTAAGAAGGTTCAAGAGTCTTATGTTTTAAGTAGTAGATAGTATAACATCCTCATAAGGTGGCTCTTTGTCTTTTAGTCTATTTACTAATGAAACAATCTCTCACCTTAAAAATGGAAGCACTGTTTATTCCTTTTTAAAATAATAATAAGAAAAAGGCCCAGTATTAGATTTGTCACATTACCACCCACTGATTCTGTAAACTGGAAAAAACAAGCCCAAACATCAAACTTCCCAGCTGATAAAACCAGACTGATAAATCAGGCTTGTTCTATGCAATATGAACAGAAATGGGATTGTTACACTTTGGGGTGAAATAGTATGGTATGACTCCAGAAACAAAATATAAAAAATAGAAGTGATTTTCAGATTAAAAAAAATCACATTAATAATACTTTCCCCATGCAGGGGGGAAAAAATGGTTTTCTGTTTGAGTCTGATATTGCAGGAGCAGATACCACCGATCCACTCATTCATTGCGGCAAGGGCTCTCCGAAAAGGTCTGGGCGGGATGAATACGGATTGTTAGCATTCAGGAAAGTGCCTCCGTGCTTTGTTGCCAGGAAACAGTAATGAAAGTACAGGGATGCCAGCTTGATGATAGGGATACAGGGCAGAGGCATTAATCCCGTGCTTTGCAGACACGAGATCGCTATCATTTGCACACATAAATGCCGGCACAGCCTGTCGGAAATCTCTGAAGGTTCTTTGGCTTAATGGTCTTGTAGAAATGTGGAACGTTATAAAAGCTTAAGCCAACAACAGCATCGTGTTAGAGGCCAGAAAACCCTCCTCTACCATGTAGAATGCAGTTTTATGGGGTATTATATTCATGCATAAAGTATTTGTGCTGTTTGCTTTTTGCATCTGCGAGGATCAGGGGCCGTGGAGTGTTGTCATTAGTTATTAAGCGAAGGATGCTCATATTTTCACTCCAAGAGGCAAAGAAATCAGGATGAGGCTTTTCTAGATAGGCTTGCCTGTGAGCAGAATTAAGGCAAGACCTCTTGTACAACCCAAGGATGGGGATGCAGTGGTCAGGATCTTACCTGAATTTGAGGACTTTTCTTTTTGTTTCTTGCATGCAGTATCTTCTAGTGTTTGCTCAGTGGGAAAGACGTAAGGTTGATATTTATGCATTTATAAAATGGTAGAATTTTTAAATGGTTTGTTTCACTTTATGTTGTTCTTACTTTCAAGGGATTAGCATCAGTTCCTAGTAAGGGCAATGAAACCTTGAAAGTCTTATGATTCTGCTGCTTTGGTTTTTACCACTATTTCAGAATAATTTGTTCACATTTTTGTGTTAGGAATATAGTGAACTATAGCAAAGACTTCAGAGAAGTTCAGATTTTTTTACTTCTTGTAAGTCAGGGGGCTGAGTATTATGGAAGTCCGAGCCTGCTTTTAGTCCTTCTGTTCTTTAATCTTCAAGAAAAGCAATCTTTGTGTATATGCCTCTTCTAAAATGACCCTAAATGTGCTTTCTAAATGCTCAGTAGAAAGTATAGCTCAGCGGAAACAACACTGGGCATAAGAACACAGGCATCATCAGCAGCTGCACGTCTCCTTGCCATTACCAGTGCCTGTCACCCTGGAAAACTCTCTCTGTTTCTGATACCCAGGCTGCCATTTATGTCTCTTCAACTGCAATCATCCTGAAAGCAGCAAACCTGCATCTTGTTCTTAATTATTCAGATAGCACTTCTTGAGAAATGTTTAAATTTGTAATAATGCTCGTAACTTCCCGCAACAGAGAGTGCTGCAGAGCTCCCCTGGAGCTGCTCTGGGCTTGCATGCAGAAGAGGCTGTTTTGGAAATTAGATACCGTGAGATGACATTTCCTTTTAGCAATCTTGGGGAGCTCTTCCAGTGCTGATGGCAATCATCTCCAAAGCAAAAAAAGAGCACTAACCTCTGGTAAATGTCTCTTGAGAGGAGCAAAAACAATCTTGTGGAAGGTATTACCTGGCTTCTGAAGGAAGAGCCGGGGTAAATAGGCCGGTTGTTTGACCTTTCCGGATGATGGGACTTGAAAATGGGGAGATTAAAGAGGCAGAGCTGGTTCCTCAGAAGGAAGCTTCTGCAAGAGGACAAAACAGAACAAAACAGAGGTGTGATGGATACAGCTGCCTTTCCTAAGGCAAATGCCAGCTGCCCTGCCTTTGTGCAGATGCCTTTCCTCAGTGGATAAATGCTGACTTTACAGTGGCTTGCTGGTGGGTGGGCACCTGGAAAATGTCTGTGATGGAGTGACCAAGCAAGATACCCTTAGTCAAAGGAATGTCTTTTGGTACTGTGTTAGCTGACAGATGGTTTAGGGCTACATTCCAAACATAATGGCTGAAAACTGTGATCCATACTTAGCCTGCAAGGCCCTTCACTGCCCACAGCTGCTTCTCCTTTGCCATCAGCGTGTAGAAACACACTGATTAATGCTGCTTCTCCATGTGGAATTAGCAACGTGGCTTCAGACTAAACACTGTTACGAGGTGTTTCATTTCAGCCTTTGAATGGTAAATGCACCTTAAAATTGCACTGACTTAAATTCCAGGGCTTTATTGATTTACTAGACTCAATTTCATACACGAGCAGGTTGGTTTTTGTCTGGAGGCAGAGCTCGTTTCTCTGTGACACGCCAGGTTGGGCAGGTATACGGGATAAACCGCAGGCATGACATTGTGTTGTAAGTCTCCTGCTTCTTTTGAAGCAGCAGAAGGGTGGGATGGGGGGATGTTGGGGGCTGTACCTTGGCTTTCTAACATGACATACACTGAGCTCTGTGCCCTTTCCATCAAGTCCATGTGATCCAGGTGAGGGGCTGTGAGTGCATGGTTCATAAAACCTCTGTTCTCACAGACTTCTTGTGTGACTCTGTGCATCTCCTTTCCCTCCTTTGTTCCCATGTTCTTTTACCTGTCTTCCCCATTCAGGCTGCAGATTCCTGGCACAGAAGGAGCTATGCTGCAGCGTGCCTGTCAGCATGGGCTTTCTGGCTTGACTGAGTGGATACTCCAGACACTTCATACAGCAATATAAATTGTTATTGCCAATAATAATATTACCGTATTTATCCCAAGGCAAGGAGGGGAAACATAA